CCACGCGATTTTAAGAATTTATACAATCAGACCTGGATCCTATTTTGAACCAAATACAGCGCCATATTCACTCCACTAATTCATTCTCTTCCCAAGTTAAAACACGAAATTCAACCTTCTACAACATTTTCTAGAAATCTCGTTGAAGATTTCCAATATGTCGAATGAAAGCCTGGCCAATCCTTAATGTCTCCTACAAAATTCAATATATATGATTACCATGAAAATTTTGAGCTACTAAAATTGAAAGTAGAATACAACCGGTTATACTCATCCGCTAGAGTTTGGCAGTTCAAAAAAAAATATGTTGAGCAACAATTGCAGGTACGGCATGCTTAGTCTCCTAGACACCTGATATCACTTTTCATTATTAAATACTTCCTCACTTATGATTGATATACTTCCTCATTTGAAAAGTTCATTAGCCGCAACCAATGTATTGCCAATTTGTTTTGGGGTTGGGATCGTGAGTATTTGGGGGTTTTTTTGTTAATGTATTCACTGTCAAGGGAGATAATTATGTTAAAAGTTCTAAATGTAAGGTATTAAACACAAAATAACTTTTTACTGAACTATTTATTGATGAATGTTTAATACAGCAGGAATGTTAACAACTATCCACAGAACTGGACTAGTTTATCATAAGCATTGCAACTTCCAAATTTACATGAATTTAAATTGTGATTTTTCTGAATATTATAAGCCATGAATTATATACAAACAACCCCAAATATAACAAACAATTGAAACCAAAAAATTATGATATTATGGAATCTCGACCAAAAGGCAAATCCCTTTATGCCTTTAGGATCCACATTCAAAAAGATTTTAAAATAAACATCATTAAGCTATAATGTTATAGTGTACATCACAGATGATCTTGGCACATGTTAATATAATAATAGTTTTATGGAAGATATTGAAGAGGGTAAGTAGTACTAGTGTTTACAGATATCCTGCAACCACTCTACTTCACTCCGTAGGTGCAGGATATCTGTAAACATCTGCTAGGGTGTTTACAGATATCTGCAAATACGGAGTGAAGTGGAGTGCTTGCAGGATATCTGTAAACACTAGTACTACTAGGGTAATACAACATTATAACATGAAAATAATTACTTTGTGTCAGATTTCCAAAAGCTGAACATAACTCTGTAATATTCCAGTCATCTGATTGGTCAATCACTGAAGTTGCTATAAATATAGTTCTATCAACCAATCAGATTGCTGTATTTATCAAAAATAATTTTTTGTGAAGTTTGCTAACATATTTTCTTTGTCAAGATTTTCAAAAATTTGAACTAATTTACTGCGACTTCTGTCACAGAACATACAAATTGTTAATTCATCTTTTTTCAAAGCTGACCATTATTAAAATATACAATCAATTCAGTAATCAGCCTTGAAGACATACAGTAGAATGTTTTGTCAAAAAGACAAGCTTTCAGAAATTAATAATTAAATGCAGATCAATGTGAAATGAGGATGTTATACAGTTATGTGTGTTAATATATCTCTTATTTCATATTATTCAACAATATCTTTTTACACAGTTAATATTGACAACACATAATTATTTAGAAATGGATTAAGAATAAGGCATAATATAACCATTATCATATATACAAAATTCAGAAAATTATTCAGATCAACATAACTACAACCCTATTTCACCAACCAAATTAAATTTGGGTAAAATCCAGTTGTTTTCGTCAGAATTTTCAGATTTTAAGTGATAGTTTGATCCTAATAAGTAAAATTTTAGTGGTTAAGAAGTGGGCAAAGGGAACTAAGCAACCACAGAAATTTTAGTTATAATGATCTAAGGTATTTAGAACATAATGCTAGCTGTCAGTCAAAATGTCACATGATTGTGAAATCTTTTATCATTAAGTAAACCATTTTATAGAAAATTTAGCCAATGGTGATTGGATGCAAATGTTGTTTTTAGTAATTGATTAACAGGCAAATCATATTATCAAGTGAAATAAGTCAGGACTATAAATCAAATTGGGAAATAAGTCGTGACTATAAATCAAATTGAGAAATAAGTCTGGACTCTAAATCAAATTGAGAAATAAATCGGGACTATAAATCAAATTGACAAATAAGTCTGGACTCTAAATCAAATTGAGAAATAAATCTGGACTATAAATCAAATTGAGAAATAAGTCGGGACTATAAATCAAATTGAGAAATAAGTCGGGACTATAAATCAAATTGAGAAATAAGTCGGGACTATAAATCAAATTGAGAAATAAGTCAGGACTATAATTCAAATTGAGAAATAAGTCGGGACTATAAATCAAATTGAGAAATAAGTCAGGACTATAGATCAAAATGAGAAGTAAGTCGGGACTATAAATCAAATTGAGAAATAAGTCGGGACTATAAATCAAATTGAGAAGTGAGATCATGACAAAAGATTATCTACATTCCCAAATTTATATTCATGTTATGTAATGCTAAAAACAAAATAAATGAATTGAAAAATTGAAATAATAAGTATAGCCACGAATCATACCCCAAAAAAAATCAGATCTATACAATACTATTTATACTATCATGAACATTACCGATAATTATACAACCTTATTAAAATTAGATTTCAATTTCTTTTCCTTGATCCACATTGTAATCTCAAAAATTTATACCAAGATGCTTACTGTTGATGTTCACCAATCACATGCAGAATCTATGTCTAAATATTGACTATGAATTGTGAGATAACAAAGCCTTAAGTACAGCGATGTGACCAAAGAGATTATGAGACCGTGTTACTCGCTTGTAAAAGTGATTCTGATTGGTGGGAGAGTGGCATGTGATTGTCTACTATAAATAGCTTGAAACATCACACGTATCTGACCTTAGCATAGATCTCGTTAAATTACAAAGGAGAATGACAAAAAAATTGTAATATAATTTAAATAAAATCGATAACTATACTACTATATCACAACAAAATTAAACCAGATAAGTATTTAATACTTATAACAAAAAAAAAATAAAAAATAAAAATATATATTTGAATAATTAACCACTTTTCATGAGCACCCATAATCATATAACTATACTATATATATAATCTTGATCAATGTGTAATAGACAACCCTCAATGTTACCATCACAGATAATAATAAGGCAAAATGGGACAAAAAATTAAATGTATACCATTTTTACATATAATATAGCACTTTAGTGATTTTTAACAATAAATAATTCTTCTGTTCAAATGATTATTTAATAATATTGTAAGTTCTTAGTATTTCCATGTACATTGTATAGAAGATTCCATAATCAATATTTAATTTCCTATGGATGAATTTAGATTCAAACATAACTTATTTCAAATATGACAGGTTTGTTTTAAAAAAATCATTTAGAAATTCTGCTTTTCCACGGAAAATTTGCCAAGAAGAGTTCAAATTTTGTTTACAGGTGAATGAACAGCAGAATGAAAGTCTTCTATGCAGATTATGGCATGGATTCTAAGACGAAAATGCATGCCTATAAGCTTATTGTTATATAGTAAAGTCTGAGATCAAAATTCTTTTATGTAAAGTTATATGCAATATCCAAATAGCTTGAAAAAAATATTGATTTTCATACCTATATGAACTAACTAAATGTCTAAAATAAGCACTCATAAGACCTAAGGGCCCAGGGATGAAAACAACAAAAAATATTTTCATAATGCTCTCTACGTAAATTAATGAAAGACAAACAAAAAATGGATTATAGTTTCAGATGTTCAAATGAAGCATATTTCAGTGAAGAACATACCACTAAAAACATCTGATAAAAAACTAATTAGATTGAAGTAATAATATTTTCATCATGCTCTCCATGTGAATTTATGAAAGACAAACAAAACAGATAATTTCAGTCAGGAACATTCCACTGAACATCTGATAAAAAAAAGAACCAATTATATTGAAGTCTGATTTTTCCAAGTACCCTAAAAGAGATGTAGTTTTTTTAATCCATAGCTAACTAAATTGATAGTGCACAGGTTAAGATAATGTAGACCTGTCTTTATAGAAATGACAATTGAATTTTATCTTGGTTTTCCAGTCCATGTTTCCATGACATAGAATAGACTTACAGACATGTCTGGTAAACTGGGACAAAGTAACAGCAAATGCTATTGTCAAGAAAGTTATCTTGATAACTACTGTCTTTGAAACTAATTTATAGTTAGATTATTATAATCATATATGTTCTCTTTTAGCTCAAATTAAATCATGATAAAGAAAAAATAAAAAGAATGCATCCCTTTTAAACATTTTTAAATTATAAGTGGTTGTGAAAAAAATACTTCAAACTTTTTATTTTCCTAAGTCACAGATAATAATCAAGAATGAGATTTTTATATATTTATCAATCAATAAGTAGACATATATTTGGTAAGACATCTTGGAAGATAATGGAAGTAGTATAGTAGTCTACACATTATTCTAAATTTCTGAATAAGAGCATACATATCAAAACTAATAATGCAAGCCAATACATGTATTTAAATTCCAACAGTTTGTTGATTTTTTGACATAGTGGGTATCTATCGGTGGAATAAAGTTGATTATTTTTCAACAACTTAGAAATAAATAGATTCAATACAAATAACCACAATACAATACAATAGTTATATCAACATTTATATTTACTTAAATCAAAATCTTACTTCTTTCCCTTCTTCAAAAATAAACTCATACAAATTTACTATTAAAGGCACTAATTTCACATTTTGAACATAAAATTACAACTGTTATACGTTATAAGCATAGATTTTTTTATTCTAAACCTACTATTACTGATATATTTTGTCTCCATTCTAATCTAACAAGTTTTATACCTATGGTTGCGTTCTCTAGACATCATTTTAAACCAATCAAAGCATGTAATGTTAGACAAGTTTCTTGCTTACAATGGTGTATTGTAGGATAGATCATAATGGCGACAAAAGAAATCAGATAAAAAAAACTAGAATTTATTCTGATTAGATTGCATCAGACATGAAACTTGAGAATAATGTGTAGAAAACAATCAATAAGTTTATAATGTGTGATAATTTCTATCAGTTTTAGCTTTATAAAATTTACAACCAAAATAAGTAATAGCTACCAAACCTGCACATAAAACAATACCACCTATAAATGATGCTGAATCAAAATGTTGTCCTGTTGTTGAGTGTGATGCTGCTGTTGTTGTGGTGACTGTTGTGATATCTGCAGTGGATGCTGAAAGAAACGGAATTAGATCAGTATAACCTATTCTTCAAAAAAATTTTTTTAATCCAACAACATCTATTTTCATATTTTTCACAAGCACATTGCAACATTCAAGTTTTTTTCACAGCAGAAGTCTTGATTTTTTGTCTTGTAACAACACAAAACAAGTCTGAGTCAAATCTATTACCGGTAATTTCTCATAAGTCCTTAGGGAAAAAAATACCCATTGATATACATGTAATTTAACATCAATAAAAGGCAGAGCTGGTCTAATTAAAAGTAGATTACAATTTCATATCTTTTTTGTTTTCTGATGTTTTTTCAGTCTACATTGTAATCTAAGAAGTTTTCTACCAAATGTCTGTCTCAGGTAGTACTTTAAACCAATCAAAACTTGTCATATAAAACCTGCATGTTGATAAAATAAGGATTTGTGGGGTAGCTAAATCCAAAGAAGCTGTCAATATTGCTCTACTTTAGATTTTGATATCAAAATGTAATATAATTTTGATTAGATTGGTAAAAAAGATCAAGCTAAACTGATCCCTAATATTTAAACTGATCTAAAAGAGCTGCTAATACTAAAAAAAAGATTTGTTATACTATGATTTATAAATTGAAAATGTTTTATTTCTAATCATAAGCTAGAAAGCCTTAAAAAATAAAGCCCAGAGAAGCAGAAATAATGCTCCAGAGAATTGGTGATTAGCAGGATCCAATTTCATTTTTCAATAAAGATAAAAATGTACCAGGTAGTTTTGATTGATTTCTAGGGGAAAAAAAAACAAACTAATATCTAGCAGGATGTTCACTTTTCAATATCTAAAAACATCTTAATTTCTGTTTGTTAGTTCTATGAATCAGATATGAAATGCTGTTTATGTATACTTTTCTAGACCTGTTGGAGCTAAAGACTACACCATACAATGTGCAATGAGGGACATTTTACAAGAAAAGCAGCATTAGCCTTCTAGTTCATAACTTGAACGTCTAGACACTTTTCCTGTCATCCCCTCTGACCTACATCACTGATGGGAGAAAAAAGACTGAAAAATCTGAAGGTATTATTTCGACCCAAGCAGGGATTGAACTCTGGACACCTTGGTCAAAATATTTCACTTTGTGGAGCATTTTTTCAGCTAATTCAAATAAAACTATAAAGCTTACATTTTGAATCAGTGGAAGTTGTTTCTGCTGTAGAAGAGGTGGTTATTTTACCTGTAGTGGTGGTGCTGGTTTGAGTAGTATTTGAAGTAGAAGGAGCAGGTGTGGCTATATAGGTGGAGAAAAACAGAAAATAACCAAAATATCAAACTAACAAAACCTTAAGGGACAGGTTCGTCATTTTCAGGGGTTGATTGTGTCTTGAATATATGTATATAGAAATACTAGAGATGTACCAAAATTGCAAAATTCCTTCAAAAATACTCCAAACTAGGAATTTCACTTTCTATTTCCATATGTCTTTTCTATATATGGCAAAGTTTCAAGAAATCAGTTTTCATTTTAACTTTCAAACACGGATAATTCTGGACACACGTGAATTTGAAGGTTCAAATTTTGACAGAGAGTTGTGAACACTATTACTGATTAGCTTAGTTTCTGTTTCTGAAATTAAGGTATGATTGGCCAAACCGATGGAGAACCTGTCCCTTTATAACATTTTATGGTCAAATATAATATACTGGAACTGGTTCCTGATATTTGGGATTTCAAATTTATATAAATCATGCTGTCATCAAGGTGTCTTTTACAGATAGTCATCTATTAATTCCCTTTACAAGATATTGTATCTTAACATCGGCTACCCAAATCACTTTTCAAACAGAAATCTATGCATTAATTACCATCAATCAGACAAAAAGAAACAAATTAAATAAGCAAAAAATAATGGCACTTCAAATTTAAACAGTCTTAATATCATTCTTTCTTTAAGTGTGAAACACCTGACATTGAAAAGTAATACAAGTTAAATAATCAAATCTTTTTTTTCAATCATATAAGAACCAGGTCCAATATTTTAAACTAATAAAATAATTGAAGGAATTGAGTACCATCAGTGAAAAAAGGTCTCCCTCAGTAGTTTGTTAAAGTTATACTACCTCTTAGGATGAACAACCAATTCATATTTTTAAACTTGGCCAAAATAAGTCTTTGATCATAAGTGGACTTACCTGGTGTCAAAACAGAATCCCCCTATAATCTAATAAATCTATAAAACTAAGTTATAATTCATTAAACTAAGTAATTAGAAGGTGTTTCAAGTTATTATTTTGTTTAATGGATTATCATCTTATATAGAGATTATATTCTTTAGTCTAGATGTTCATCAATGCTTATTGTATGACCTAATTTTTTTACAATTGTAATAAAGATATCATTATTATAGTCATGGCACGTATACAGTCCAACTGATGAATTTATACATATGTTGACCAAGTTTGAGACTTTAAATTTATGTCCATTCTATCTAAGAGGTAGTATCCTTTTAAATAATCCATTTGGAAAAAAATTTGACTGTTAAATTTATATTCAGTGTGTGAGAGCATTCAGTAAATATTTAAAAATTAAAAATGTCTATATCTATCTGTTCAACAATTAACTAATAAAAAAAAAACAAGTTGGGAGACTCCATTATCAACTTGAGAGTTAGTTCTATCAAATTTTCAAACATAAGAATAACTAGGACCCAATTTCTATAAAAAAGCAAAAAGAACACATAATTGAACACCACAAAAATTTAAAATAGGTTTATACTTACAACTAATAATTGAGGTCGCTGAAAAATATCAACAATAAAATTGATTAATATACTAAACTACATGATTTTTATAGACTTTCTAAAGCAAAAGGTATTCATTATCTCATTCACTAAATGAAATGAATGGTGTACAAATGGTGTACAATAAGGGAAATTTTGCCAGGAGTGCAGCATTAACTGTTAACTGGCCCCCATCTCTTTCACAACACAGGATAGTAAAAATATTTGTCGACCAAAAAAAGACAATCCCTCATCAAATCATTTTCTGCAGACATGTTTCGGATATGAAATCCTCATCAGGACAGCGAAATTGAAAGTGGATGAAATGAGAGCAATAACCTAATAATTATAAAGAAGTTCTTTCTCTTCACTTCATAACAAAATGTCATCTGTAGGTATGATAGAGTTTTTGAGTTCTTTCCCTTCACTTAATAACAAAATGTCATGTGTAGGTATGATAGAGACCACTGTTTATTCATTAGCATATTATTGAGATCTCAATTAAGTTTGAAAGTGAATACATTCAACAAATAGTTATTGCCCATAATTTTGACTATGAACAAGGGCAATAGTTTATATCCCCATTTCTTTAAGCAGCTTTCATGCTATTTTTTTTTTTAACTTCAAACATTATACAAGAAATTAGAATATAACATATAGAATATGCTTATAAAAAAGGAAAAAAGACAAATTCACTGAATTTTAGAGAAAGTGGTAATAAAAAAATCTGTGTAATAAGTTTCTTTAGAAAAAATAAGTCTATGATTCTATCCAACTGACATCTGTCTAACATTAACTATCAGAGATTAAATTAGTATTTCCAGACTCACATTGACTTATAAAACCAAATTCTACTTACTACAATTATTGGTACATGTTGGATCTGTTGTTGTATTCATATGAAAACATCCTGAAATAATCAATATTATATTTTATAACATAGATGTGTTATCAAGATAGCCAAAACAGATTCAAAACTATACTTTAATAGGTCTATTTCGAACTATTTCTCTTTCTCATTCCTGATAGACACCATTTAATCACTGTTACAAAATTAACATCAGATATACACAGGATAAAGAAATTGTTCATGTTTACGTCTGATTGTATAAATATTGGGTCATTCATGAGGTCATCTTAAGCACTGGTATGACCATCCATTGGGTTTTCCAGGCTCCTGCAGCAACCTCAAGAGTGATGCCAAATTCTTTAGCCGGAGAATGTTACTAGGTTCATTTTCGTAATGTAAGGCAATCAAGAGACCATCCTGTCAAAACACAATATCTTTGACTTTACTTGGTTTTATCATTTTTTCGCCTCATGAAAAAAAAAAAATTCTGCTCAATCTTCTAAGGAAGGCATCATGAATAAAATCATAGCCTTTGTAGTGAAGTCGTGATTCAATTGTTGTGATAAAACTTTAGTCAACTTTGTCTGCCAGGTTTCATCAATCTGCCAAAATCAGATGAAAACTTTAATATCAGCATTGAATTAGTACAAACCATGTGTCATCTCAGAAATCAGATGAAAACTCATCTTCGCAACGTCAAGCTATTATAAACTTCATCTTATACCTAGACTGCAAAAGCCACCTTTCTTTTATCACAGAATGTAGTGATTTGATTGCATTGTACCTCAGTGAATACAGCCAATCAGAGCCCTCAACGGAAAGACCGTAAACACTATGGCTTATTGTTTACAAACATGCTGTCGAGACCTCTTTTTTGTTGAATTAGCTAGCGTACAATCAAATCAATTTCGTTGGCATGCAAAAGGTGACTATTGCAGTCAAGGTATAAGACAAAGTTCATAATAGTTTGACATTGTGAAGATGATAAAAACTATGCTTTTCATATTGCTAATAATTTTTAAAAAATAATGACTGAGTGATCAACATATTTTCTTAAAGAAATGTGGATGTAGATAAAGATATTACCTGGTTTAGCTTTACAAATAAAAAAGAAACAATCAGTGGCATTACAGCAGTCTTCTTCATTAATAATTTTAGTACAATCTAGAATTAGAGAATTAAACCCACCATAATGAAGACGCATTACTTGTTTAAAGATATACTGATAAAAAAATTGAAATTTTTAAACTTGGCCAAAATGAGCCTTTTTTCATCATCAGTGGACTAACAGAATTTCTCTATAATCCTGTAAATCCATAAACTTAAGTAATTATCCATGAAACTAAATAATCTTGAAACATGCTTAGAAGCATTTTTTAATAATCACTAGGTTAAATGCATAAATCTTTTGATTTTGGGAGATTCTATTCTTTGGTGATGGCACCTGGTAGGTCTAAATGATGAATATATACTTGTTTTAGTATGGGACTTTTATGTCCATTCTTAGTGGTAGTATTTCTTTAAATAAAATTCTTGAACACCAGCTGCCACAAATTTCACTACATTAGCAACTGAATGTTTGTGACTTGAGTGTATTAAAGATACAGGTGCGCCATTTTGGGGGTTGATTTAAGTCTTAAATGTATGTAAATAGTCTTCAGAAGTGATAGAAATCTACGAAAATCGCATAATTCCTTCAAAAATATCTCAAACTAGAAATTTCATTTTTCATTTATATATATGACAGAGTCTAAAGAAAAGAGAAGATTAAGTCTCAAACACGGATAATTCTGGACACACATGAAGGCTAAATTTATAGGATAATTTATGCCTCTTAGACTGAAACATGTCTCTATTCCAGCCTCTGATAGCTAAGTCGACAGATGTCAGCTGGTGTAGAGACAGAAAAAATAGGGCCTGTTAAATGGGCTTTTCCGCATCTCCGCAGGTGCGGGGTTTGAAACCTATTTAGATACCTATGATCTGCAAAACCCAGGTATATTTGGAAAGATAAATATTTTTGTAGTTCAGTCATATTATCATTTTCTCCCTACACCATTTATATCATGTCTCCAGTTCCATCATTTTTTTTTTGGCGAAACTGATCTAGCATCTGATACTAACAAAACAAAAGTTACGGTGATACCCAACACTATTTAACAATCATTTTATAGGTAATTCAATGTTATGTTAGAGAAAATTATAAACACATCTTTGGAGGTGTGGAAAATCCCCATTTAACAGGCCTCTTTCGTCTGACTCTGCTCCAGCTGACATCTGTCAAAATATCAATCAGAGGCAGATGGTTCAGACTAGCCTCACTTGTGACACCTCCACACCAATAAATCACAGCAATGGAACCTAAATCTGGGTCCCTCCTGTTAACTCTTCCCCAGGGATCTGGATTGTCTCATATAAAGTCATATTTTCAGCACCCAAGGATAAAATGCATGATTCTGAAGCAGACACCTAAATTTCATAGAATTAATGAATAAAGGACTTCATAGCAAAATATATTTACGCAAATCAATGTTTTGTCGAAATGTTTAATTTAAAGCTAAAAACATCTGTTTATATGTTATTGATTGTAGCATGTGATATATCTATATATTATATCTATATCTATGAAAATCTCTTAATGTTATAAATATTCATAAAGATTATTGATAATACCGCCATTTATATTTATACTTACTGCACTAGTACATTAAATAAAATATAAGCTTACATTATGTTTATTACTCAGTGAAGAATGAAAATTGTTTTACTTTTTCTCTACGGCTCATTGGTTAAGATTTAAAAAATAGGTTAGGCAAAAATAATAGCTTTTCTTTTAAGTTTATTATCATAGCAAATCATATCCAATGCTTCAATCCCATTTAATTTATAACAAGTGAAACCCTAGCAGGCCTGTAACCAGACTTGATTGTTCAGAGGGGAAAGTTATATGTTGGGACATTAACAGGGCAATCCATTAAGGGAATCCCCCCCCCCCCCCCAATCTTCCCATTGCTACGGGCCTGACTCCATTTGATTGGTTCTAACCAGTCCCAAAGAGAAAATCGACAAATCCTTTAAAAATCAAAGTGTCCACCAAGCAGAAAATGAGGTAACCATCATAGTTGATCAACTACTGTATGATTTGTATTAACAATGAAACTTATAATTCCAGATCATTAGACCAAGGTGTAAGTGAACAGCTAAAAACAAAATAATAAAAATTCACCTCATACAATCATTATAAAGTTATGGATAAAAGAATGCATTATGATTTTAAACCTATTTCACATTCAAAATCAATTTATCATCAAAATGAAGTTCAAGAAACTTACTGTCGGTGACTACAGAAACTGTAGTAGTATCTGCTGCTAGAGTAGATGTTGATGCTGAAAAAAAAGAAAAAAAATCAAGTGGATAGGCAATAAATTGTATATGATGTCATTTCAGTTTGAAAATTCACCGAAACATAACAAAATATTTACACTAGTCAAATATACACACATAACAAATTCATCAAAGTATGATGAAAACTGTAGCCTTTTTTATGCTATGAGTCATAATTCATAAAGAATTCAAATAGAAATCTTCCATAATCACATACTACTCTTTATCAATGTATTCTATATCAGTAAAATTTTGAAATGCTATTGAGAGAAATTGATCACTTGTCTAAGATTAAGTAAGATGGCCTTTTCACTTTTTCTGTTTTAGAATTTACCCTTTATCCGTGTGAATGTCAAATCATAAAAGCTTATAGCCTACCAGACAGGATGTAATATATTTTGGGATGCTTTTGACATATGAGCACTGGGTCATACTTTAGCTTTATGAATGACTAACAAACAAAAAACACAAAGTTTAGTTGGTTAATGGTATAGAAATACTACCGCAATAGATCAATATCCTTGCATACCTTAGATAATTTAACAGGCATTACGCAAAATTTTCATAATATCAAAAATGTCATAAATTTAATTATACCTAATACAACCTTGTCAGAGTCAGAGAACAATAATCAACAAAATTTGTGACAATTTTGGTTTAAGTTTCTGGTCTGGGAGGGAAGTGTGTTTCTATTCACATTTAGATCTACAGGTACACCATTAACTTTTATTGACAAAAATTTATACATACTATCCAATTTGAAACTGATACTGTAACTTTTAAACAATCAGCAAATTTCTATTTACAATGAGATTTGCAAAGACAGTACAGTTTTATTCTTCAGTAGCCTATCCTACATAATATAAGGTGACAAATTTCCAAAATAGGCCAATTTCAATTTCAAATTATATTCTATAATATCAAAATTACACTATGTCCGGGGTTGGTAAGCTTTATTGTACTAGTAGACCTACTAAACTATACTGCATACAATCTTTCAAACAAACAGGATACAGGATTTACTATTAATACTCACCAGTACTAGCAGTAGTAGAGGGGCTGGCAGTAGTAGAGGGGCTGCCAGTTGTAGTAGAGGCAGTGCTTGCACAACCAATGTTAATTGTCAACAAGGCTACCAATACGGAAGAATAAAACAACAAATCCTGTTTGTCAAATCGTGACATGATCATCATTCCGAATATCTTATACACAAGTTATCTTTTAACAACAAAATCTATTCGGTTCGAAAATTACTTCAATGAAAAGTTCTTAATGGGAAATCGTAATAAATCTCAATCGACTTTATTTCTAAATTACGTGTGAGTCATGCGCACGCGCTCAAAGTTCTTTCTTCCTGTTATAATTTTATGGCGGGGGAATCGTGTTCAAACATACAATCAAGGCTGTATGGAAGACTGATCACCAGATCGTAAATTTGCTGGTTGAAAATGAAATCAGATTGATAAATCGCAATTTGCCGTTTGATTTGATGTGATTTAGATACAGCGGAAACAAGTTTATCCACGCAGTTACGTTCCCGAGAAACTCCTCTGATTTATTGTGCATGTATTAGCCTACCAATTCACATAAGATATTATAGCTGTCAGATGCCAAACGAAATAAGAAATGTTCAATGTTGAGGACAACGTTAGATAGTTATACTTGGACTAGACAAGGATAGGCCTTAATAGGCTAGCTAGTACCCCTCTTCATCTCAGAGACAGACCCTTTAATTTCATTGTGATCTGCTGCGGTTATACTAGTGTTTTGAAGTACTGTGTCACGAGGTCAAATCATGTAGTAACCGTGTCAATGTTTTTAATTTTGTTAGAGCTTAAATATCATAAATTAAAATAATATATTACACAACCTCATACAAAAACATATAAGCTTATTTATGTAAGTACTATGATATGATATATCTCGGGCATAATTTCTTCTTTAATGATTCATTTACGGATAGTAAACAAAATATTCTAAAATATTCTTGTGAAACTGAAAGCGCCATAGGCGCAAATTTCCCACAGAGTGTCTGAGAGGGCTCTCATCTATGTAAGTTTTTGAAAAATATAGACATGATAAAAGGGATTGTAAAAAGGTTTTCTAACTTTTCATGTGTATCGGGGACACTGATAGTATCCATTTGCGTCAATCCAATATTCAATCAGACGCCTGTGGTTCCCTTATACCACTTAAGGCCTTCGCTATCTGACGTCACCAAACACTTAATTTTAGTGGAATTGCAGAAACTGTCAAAATATCCATCAGAAGCTAGAATAGAGGTAGATATTTCGGACAAGGGTTGGGATTGCTTTTCGGTCACATTCTCGGCAGAGGGCTATGCATAAGTTTTAAGCCAAAACTAATTTTATGTTTTTTACAGCTATGCCTTACGATGGTTTTTAAGAATAAAATGAGGTATTTTGAATCAAAAAACTTTATTCTTTTTTTAACAAATGAGATGTGCAACCTATGTTTTCAAAATGAACTATTCTAATGATGGTTTTGGAAAAAAAATTATGATCTTTTTAAATCAGGAAATCAAAATCGAGGATTCACGTGGATCTCTTGATATAATGAATTACGGTTATGGTTTCGATTGAATGAGATCTCCCACAATTTCCAAAAAGCTAAAAATGGATTAAATGCAACATGCTTAGTTTATTTTCTGTGCCTTTTGGTTATTGCAACCATTCCAGATTTAACATTCGTTCTTTGAATGGAAATTCTCGACAACGCGATTGATGAGCTAATTTATGCAAGAATCCTCTGAAAATAGACAATTGTTACTGAACAAGCTATTTGATTGGTTGAATTAGAGAACAATTATTTCTTACAACGGCGTTAGATCTAGAATAGTTTAGATACCATTAGAAATCAAACAAAGCGAAATTTGTTCAACAGTATTCAATTTAGATGTAATCACAACAATCTTCCAACGCATGTTTAGAGAACCTTCAAAATGATATTATTAATTTTTGTATTTTTTCCCATCCATCACACATTCAACACAACAGTCCAGTTAACAGTAAGTTCAAGCCTACATGGCGTTGTATTTTTGTTGTCCATTAGCTCTAATCACGTAACATCTATAAGCTATAAACGTTATTAACAAGAGTCCAGCACCTAAGGCTATACCACCACCAAACGACGCTCCATCAAAACCGAAAGCAGAAGCCTGTGTTGTTGCGAGAGGACCAACGGTAGCTGGAGATGTATTAATGGAAGAAGAAGAATTTGATATTGGTTCGGATGATATAAAAGTGATTGGTGCTGTTATATCACTAGTATTTGTGATGTCAGTAGTTATTTCTGTCTGCATACTGGATGACGAGTTATCAATAGTAGTAACAGTAATTATAGAAACTATGGAGGTACCATCTGAACTATTTGACGAAACAGTCGTTGACTCTGGCATGGTAGTCGTTGACTCTGCCATGGTTGTTGTGGTATTTGCTGCATCCGGGGCTAAAGGGAGTCCTGAAAAACAGAGTTTATACCGTTATATAATTCAGATTCATGCAAAATTAAACGCTGGAATCAGGTTTGGCACTGTAAGTGGACAGTTATTTGTACGAAAAATTATGTTTGACTCATATTTTGCGATACACAGGCTGGGATCGATTTGCGATTCAGAGCTTCTCGTCTGGTCGGTCGAAGTTGACACAAATATACCTGCGAGTTAGCCATTCGCTTTCTGTCATTTGTTAATGTTTCAGATCCTCTGATTTAGCTTCCATAGCATCAGAGTTCACCACATTTTGTATTGTCTATTGAGGAAAATCATGACAATATACAGAATTTGTGACGAATGTAAAAGTTCACCATAGCCAGGAAGTAACACAAATTATGGTCGATACATTACAAAAGCCCACTGAGTGGGTACTTTGGCTTATAAGTCATCCAAATAAAGAAAATATGGAAAATCTACATACCTCTGACGCCCACTGTAAATATTACAATCGCAGTGATCAGGTACATGCACGTGGTGAACTTGGAAAGATACATTGGTGGTTTTAATGTTGTAGATTATAGAAAAGAGACGTCAACAGCAATTATTTCTTTATAGTTAAAATATCCAAGGCTGATCCAAAGAAGTTAAATATAAAAAGGCAGATCTGTTCCACGTCGTAAACTAGCTTTATCATATATAATGAAGTTCCCATCATGTGATAATGATAATAGTAGTGATAAAGTCCATGAATTATTTGTGTAATTAGCATGGGGCTTGAGATAAAACATTTCGATATTAGAGAGCATTAGGGATTGTCAACTGGACACCGTGATTGTTGTTTCACAACATTACAAGGAGCTACAGGGATTGCGTAATTATTAAAAAATACGGGGCCGTATCGTATGTACGCTTACTTTGCTCGCTATCCAAATGCTGGCAAATGAACTACTGTTACCAAACAAAGGGCAATAGTAAGTCAATTAAGTTTATGTTAGGGTGTTACGAGAATAGAATTCCCATAAAAAGTACAGCCATTAAGTTAGAATTATATATTTCTAAGTGCTGTTTGTGTTAGTTGCATGAGTATATTCTCAAAAAAAAAAAACAACAACACAGAACTGGCCTAGGTTGTGAAGTAAGAAACAAAACAAAGGGTAAGAGACGATTAGTTAAACAAAATTCTGATGTGAACTGATCGATAAAAGAGAGAACGTACATAGATACAAGGGAGAACTGATTGATTCGAGAGAGAATTGGACTGATTGATACAAGAGAGAATATCTAAACTGATTTGTACAAGACATAATAAAAAAGAGCTAAAAAGACATAATATAGGGACTAATCAGAGAGAGAATATATGAACTGATTGATATCAGAGATAATATATGAACTGATTGATACAAGAGGGAGCAGAACAGGGAACAGTGTTTTTAAACTCATACTATTATTTAATGTCCAAAATATCAGCGAACTGATCAACTTGGGGAAATAGTTATTTTATGCAAATAAAAAACGCGATAAAATTTCAATTTAATATTTATTCATTATTCATGTGTTATGATAACTGTATTTATAATTGTTGAGTATTTTGTTATTTAGTCTCCTTTGCCGTCTTTACTATATGTATTTTTGTAAATATTGATTTGTGTCTAATGAGTCATGGGCTCAAGAAATAAAGAATTTGAATTTGAATAATGTGATTGATACAAGAGAGAATATATAGGAACTGATTGATACAAGAGAGAATATATAGGAACTGATTGATACAAGAGAGAATATATATGAACAAATTGATACAACAGAGAATATATGAACAAATTGATACAAGAGAGAATATATGAACAAATTGATACAAGAGAGAATATCTGAAATTGGATACAAGAGAGAATGTCTGAACAGAGAAAATATCTGATCTGATTGATACAAGAAAGAATATCTCTACTGATTGATACACGAGAGAATATCTGAACTGGTTGATACAAGAGTGAATATAGGAACTGATTGATACACAAGAGAATATATGAATTGATTGATAGCAGAGAGAATATAGGAACTGATTGATACACGAGAGAATACATGAACTGATTGATACATGAGATAATATAGAAACTGATTGATACACGAGAGAATACATGAACTGATTGATACCACAGAGAATATACTAGGAACTGATTGATACTAGAGAGAATACATGAACTGATTGATAGATGAGAGAATACATGAACTGATTGATAGCAGAGAGAATATAGGAACTGATTGATACTAGAGACAATACATGAACTGATAGATAGCAGAGAGAATATAGAAACTGATTGATACTAGAGAGAATATAGGAACTGATTGATACTAGACAGAATATAGGAACTGATTGATACTAGAGAGAATATAGGAACTGATTGATACTAGACAGAATACATAGTAACTTCTTCTTACCAGAGAGAATATAGGAACTGATTGATACTAGAGAGAATACATAGAAACTGATTGATACTAGAGAGAATATAGGAACTGATTGATACTAGAGAGAATACATAGTAACTGCTTCTTACCAGAGAGAATATAGGAACTGATTGATACTAGAGAGAATACATACTAACTGCTTCTTACCAGAGAGAATATAGGAACTGATTGATACTAGAGAGAATATAGGAACTGATTGATACACAAGAGAATATATGAATTGATTGATAGCAGAGAGAATATATGAATTGATTGATAGCAGAGAGAATATAGAAACTGATTGATACACGAGAGAATAGATGAACTGATTGATACATGAGAGAATATAGAAACTGATTGATACACGAGAGAATACATGAACTGATTGATACATGAGAGAATATAGAAACTGATTGATACACAAGAGAATACATGAACTGATTGATAGCAGAGCGAATATAGAAACTGATTGATACTAGAGAGAATACATAGTAACTGCTTCTTACCAGAGAGAATATAGGAACTGATTGATACCAGAGAGAATACATAGTAACTGCTTCTTACCAGAGAGAATATAGGAACTGGTTGATACTAGAGAGAATACATAGTAACTGCTTCTTACCAGAGAGAATATAGGAACTGATTGATACTAGAGAGAATACATAGTAACTGCTTCTTACCAGAGAGAATATAGGAACTGATTGATACCAGAGAGAATACATAGTAACTGCTTCTTACCAGAGAAAATATAGGAACTGATTGATACTAGAGAGAATACATAGTAACTGCTTTTTACCAGAGAGAATATAGGAACTGATTGATACTAGAGAGAATACATACTAACTGCTTCTTACCAGAGAGAATATAGGAACTGATTGATACTAGAGAGAATACATAGAAACTGCTTCTTACCAGAGAGAATATAGGAACTGATTGATACTAGAGAGAATATAGGAACTGATTTATACTAGAGAGAATATAGGAACTGATTGATACTAGAGAGAATATAGGAACTGATTGATACTAGAGAGAATATAGGAACTGATTGATACTAGACAGAATACATAGTAACTTCTTCTTACCAGAGAGAATATAGGAACTGATTTATACAATGTGTGTCAGGTGGGACTGATAAGGCTTATCTCTGTATCGATGAAATTAATCTTAGAAATGTTTTTTTTTGTGTAAACTTATTTATGTAAAATATACATTATGAAATGGATTGGGAAATTGGCTTCACTTATATTATCTCTCAACAACAAATAATCTTAACATTCAAAACAATTTTCCAACATGGACCATAGAGAAAAATACTATGAAGGTGTGCTTTAAATTCAGTCTAAGTGTGAAATAAAAAAACTTTGTCAGTAGTGTACAACATCGATACACTTCTCGTAACAAACAAACTTCTATGATTAAAATATTTATTCAATAATTTAAATATCACGATTTATGATTAATATCACCGATAATACATAACTGATAAAATACATCAATGTGTGATATGATCTAATGTATTTTTAATATTCAGAACTCATATGTTGATACTCCACAATCAGTAATTTTTACATCTTTTACAGGCCGTTCATTCATAGTTTCTTGTTCCTCTATTTTCTTTAATGTTTCTGTCCCTTCAATAATTTGACTGAAATAAAGAGAGAATCTGTATTATATCCCATAATCGACAGATCATTGTAAACCTTCATTATATCCTTACAGCCTAATTGTACTAACTACAGATTTCATTGTTGTATTGTTACGTAAACTATTTACTTTCTATAGTTTCAATGACCTTTCAAGAATGCCTTATACCATTGTAATGCTTATTTTATATATTTTATTTAACACTGTTTACATATTATACTGAATTATAACCAGATATTTTTAGATTGCATTGTGTTGTAATTCAGTTGGCTACTTGCAGGCCTACTTTGGTCAAACCCAGGTTTATATGAGAACTTTATACTGTTTTAAAGGAGCACCTTCACTATCTGTTGGACCAATCATACCTTAGTTTCAGAAACAGGAATTTTTTAGCTTACATAATCAGTAATAGTGTTCACAGCTCAAGGTCGAAATTTCAGCCTTCAAATCCATGTGTATCCATAATTATTCACGTTTGAAATTTGAAATTTCTAGTTTGAGGTATATTTGAAGGGATTATGCGATTTTCATGCTTTTAGTACTTCTTAAGACTATTAAAGCGCAATAAAGACCCAAATGAATCCCTGAAAATGCCGACTGTTCCCCTTTAAGCCCAGTCAATATATTACTGATTATATACAGATTATGGACATATTACATTTGGTAAACCATTCTTGATTTGGATACATGGTAATACATATAAACTTGTCCACACATCTACAACAGACAGCGCAATAATTTCAATAAAATTTTTAGATAAATATTGAAGATAATTACCCAAAGGCTACATAGTTAGTGTTCATCCATGGGGCTGGTTGTAATGTTATGAAGAATTGTGATGCATTTGTATGTCGACCTTTATTAGCCATTCCCACTATACCACGGTTTGAGAAAGGAACAGCAAAATTTTCATCTGGAAAATAGAATGATTTGAATACTTAATTCAAAAACAAACTGACAGAAGCAATGTCTGAAAAAGCCAACATAAGAACCACGAATTGAAGATATATGGGTAAATCATTCTGAGAAAATTTTATGCATGTGGTCATATTTACAAATTAAAATAAAAAATGTGTAAAGCGTGCAACTATGTGCAAGACAGTTATAGTTGGTTTTAAAAAAATCTTTTGAGTTTTACCTAATAAAGGGAAAGGTGATAGAAATAATTAATGCCAAAAGCCTCAATAAGTATCAATAATAAAGACTCACCCTCAAAAACTGTACCATAAACTGATTCCCCACCATTTCCTCTACTATGGTAAACATCTACATCAGGTAATAATAAAGATTAATAATAGAACTACATCAGGCTTATTGCATGTAGATAAAATAATTGTACCAGCAAAGAGTGTAAATCTTTACATTAAAGGGAAAGTGAACATTGAAAGTGTTTTATTGTGACTCCAATTTGACTATAATCCCAAACCAACACAGTCGGCACTATGCACCTTAGATTAATATTATAAGTTTAATTTTAACTACTGTCCATATTGGATAATATTATTTATCATAAATATGCCAACAGTGCAAAACAAAAATTTTTTATGAATTTAAAGGTGAGAAAAAACAAGGTATCAAAAGTACCTTATCTTAGCGCATTTGCAATTAACTAAAATTTGGATATATCCTAGAAGCAGAAAAAAACTTACTAACCTCCTCCCTGTATCCAACCATTAGGTACTATTCTGTGAAATAATGTATCAGCATAGCTCAATTTACTGTCTGTTTCAATACATGTACCTTTATCTCCAATACATAATGACTTAAAATTACTACAGGTTTTTGGTACAACATCTGTAAACAACTTCAAAGAGAGAAAAAAGATTATTCATAAAGCACTGATTTAACACAATATAAATACCTGTATATTCACATTATTGTCTCCACAATGGTCCATGTGTGAGTACTACAGATACAGTTTACTATCACTACTATCAGGATTCAATTTGGATTGGAAAAATTGGAAGGACCAATTTTCAGTTTGATCAAGTTTCAGTGTTATTAAGAAAATAGATATTTTATTTAAACAAACTGTGTTACACAAGGAACTTTTTTTTTAATCTCATACTAGAACAATGATAAAAATTTGTATATTATAGATGTTTTAATATGAAATGTAAAATATCTTACTTCAATAACAATTTTTCCTACAGGTTCATCTCCAATATTAACATCAAAATAAACATATTCATGCTGAAAATAGAATTAAAAGAATAGAAAATTCAGTTGAGGAAGTGATAGATGTTCCAAAATGGCAAGCAGGCTGTGAACAGCTGACAGCTGACATAAATTTTTTTTTTTATAAATTACTAACAATAATAAAAAAAAAAACAGGTTTCTAATGAGTATATTATTATAGACTTCTTAAACTAAATATGTTAATAAGAGTGTACACAACCAAAAACTTTCAAACCACATGATTGAATTTATTTATTATTACTTTTCCCAAATTCAGTAACTAATCAACTAATTAATCATGTATCCACCAGACAGATCATGACATGATTCTATGACACACTCTAGACTTACATTTTTGGAATTTAATGTTGTTTTATAGCCTTCTTCTGTTAAAGTTTCATAGAGAGGCATTGGTCGGAATTCCTGAAATTGGTAATTTTCTTCAGCCCAAAAAATAAAATCATTGGGACCACCAATTAACTGATTATTAATAAAAATTATAGCATTTTCTGAGAATGACCATGCTTCTCCACGGATTTCCTGAAAAATATAAAAGTATATTACATAACTTAAATGCAAAATAGCATAAACACATATACTCTCATTGTACCAGTAGTGCTTTGTCTGCTTCCAGTGCTTGCATGGTTTGTGTATGTAAAAAGCTACAGTTGTGTTAACAAGAATAAATCGTCCCACAAAATTAACTTCACATGAATAGTTGATTATCTCTTGAAACAAAACAGTTTTTAATCATATGGGACTAGTACGCTAAACTTACCTTCTTTTTAGCTTCTATGTATAAATCCCATTCAAACTCTAACATGCCCTTTATAACAGGTTCATTAAATACTTTAGGATGCTGTTTGTGGATGTCCTAAACGAAATATTAATCAAACACTATATATTATTAAACACTTAGGACCTATTTGATAATTGATGTCAGTGTCAGTAAGATGATAATCTAGTGCACTGATCTGCTGTAATTTCAATGACAAAAAACAAAGTCTACGAAAATTTTAAATTGCCAAATATTACTGGTATCTTTAGATCGACGTTTTTATGATGTAGATCATTTATCTAGATACTGGTAGTGAAGAGTAGAATTGAAATCAACAAAACCTTCATTACTACTCTATGACTACAATGATTTCTGAATTGAAATTTGGCGATCATTTTCATATGAATTGGAATATCAATTACAAAATACTACTGAGAGTCTTGAATTGTCTTTGGGTTGATGAAAATGTTTACGTTGATGAAAATGTTTACCACTGGAAAAGTTATTATTTTTAGACATGATTTTACAGAGGAGAATTTTCAGACCAAAAAGTGGGTCACTTTCACACAAATTTTTTGGTAGGGAAGTGTGTCTGTTTAAAATGTAAAATCACTAAACCTTATATTTCTATGGACCCGAAGACATTCTAAGACAAATGGCAAACAGTTGAAAATTTTGTTTGGAATATTTATGAAATGAGAGAAAAAATTCTATTCAACTTCCAAGTTCAACTCAAGTAGTCAGAGACTAGACCATGGCCATGCTTTGCTATCCTTTTGAAGAAAGTGGGGTTTGAAGCTACGCAAATGATAATATTTATAAATTGATCCATGTTTTACTTACATTTGCACAACATTTTGCACGAACAAAGTTAATATCGTTCAATAATCCAAATACTTCAATGTTTACTTTCGTGCTGTCCGCCATGATGATATTATCGCTAAGGAAATGTAAACAAATAAGTAAGGGGAGACGACTTAAATATAAAAATATGTTGACTGGAATAACCAGACGCAAATGTTATCGCTGTAGTTACCAACATATTTAATCCGAAAACATGACCAAACTTGAATGTATATAATATGCAGTCCGAGTAATAAATATTTGGCTTTGGTAGTGACTGATATCTACTTTTGACCTGTAGGCATCCTTTTCACTTATTTTGCAGAGAAAGCACTCCTCTGTTCAAAGTCCTTGTTTGAAATAGGCTACCTCTGACATATAATCATAAAGAGATCTTCCCATACAAACAGGTGTTATTTGGTAATGTCTGATATGAGCTGATCATTTCCTTGTGTTGCAAGCACAACCTGGGACTTTTTCTCCTGTAGTATTCTCTGATCATGATTTTATACCAATTTGTTTAACAAAATTTCTGTTTCCTGGGTTCCATTTGACTGATCAATCCACATTAATCCACTTTTGGATGAACCCAACCCAACCCAAACAAAGAACACAATAAGATGAAGATAAGTTTATTTGATTTGACTTGCATTAGATTCAGACTTGTTAGATCAGAAAATATATAAAAAAAAAAAGTAACAGAGTGAACAATGTTAAGTAAGAATAATTCATTGTCTTGAGCATAACTTAAATTAGTTAGGTCCATTTAATGCTGCCAACAAGTTTCAGATATAAAATCCCCATCAGGACAGCTGGTGATACTTACATATCAATACTGATAAGAAAGCATAACACATATATATCATATCTTGCATTTTTAAATTCAATACTTAGACCTCTCCTCTGATTGGTGTATATTTTAAAGTCAAAAATTTAACCAATCAGATTTCTTCAAATTCGAATAGACATGACCATTGTTAATAATATACTTTCTGTCATAATGCCCTAGAAAGACTTATAACATTTATTGATATAAACATTTATAATAAATAAAAATTGTATTCTTTCTTAATTAATTATGACTATTTTAATTAATATAATATACAAATTGGTAAGCCAGTACCACTATTACAATGACTTTGGCATAAATCTCAAATTCGAAATCATATCTACAAATATATATTACTTTTGATAATAAAATACTATGTACAATTTTTAAATAAAAAAGAAAATATCTGGAGAAATTTTCTGATCTAACAAGATTGAAGACAGATAAACCCACACCAATAATAAAACATTCAGGAAAAAATCTTGTTCCATGTTGATGATTTGTTGAATATTTGAAAATATGGAAGACCAATATGAACGAATGTATAGATAGCACTTTTCACTTCATAAATAATGCCTTTTAATATGACTTCTCATGTCCAGACTTTCACACGGTTTTTACATAAAATTTCATTTAATTTGAATGAATGACTAGTATATGTGAAAAGGCCACAAATTGTAAAGATACATTTCCTGAATGAATTATCTTCAAATTTCATATAAAAGTTTTGTTTTTCGTTTATTTTCATCATTTAAATTGATTAAATATATCCTAACTTCCACTTGTGTAAATTCAGCAGGTTTGGTGTTTTTTATTTTTTATAGCCAAATTCTTTAGCATCATCTTCTGTGAAATCTCCATAACGCCATAGATTACGCTGAAATATTTAAAAACAATATTTTTTTTTTTTATTTTTACATAATAAATGAAAATGCTAATACTTATATGAATAGAAAGTAGAGGTGTTCTAATGACTTGGAAAAATACCAGTTTGACTCACACGTCCATAATTAATTCATAATTAGCTAAATTTGATGAGAATAACCAGCAGAATTCCAATGAGTGACTGGCCAAGAAAGGTCAAAAAGACATTTTTTGTTTATCCAGACTGCACATACATGGACATTTATGATTGGTTAAAACTCTTAATTATATACAATGAGAACATAATGATATGATTAAGAATACAATATAATTCATCAGAAACACCAATAATCAAATAGTTTGCTTAATTGGACACTAAGAAATAAGGGAACCCATCTGTCACCTACTTAGCATAGTAAGTATAAGTATTTGTTGATATGTAGACTGAAGGTTTTATCAACCAATTATGAAATTTATATCAACAACAAAAAATTCCAAGATTGTAAAAGCTGGTATTTTAAATTAAAATATTCAATATCTTAACCAGAAATGTGTATTAATTTTATCAAAAAGAAATTTAGCTTAATTTGGATGTCCATTCCAATTGTTCTCTTGACATGGCCTCATATTATACGAATTAAAGAGCTGTAAATACTTCAAATTGTGAAATAAAAATTAAGATTTTTGCTTTTTGAGAATATATGAGTAGAATTTCCTCAATCATGGAATAATTGATAGATATTAACTCACCCTTTCAGACTTGGCCTTATCCTGAGCTTTGAAGTAATCAGAGACCATCTTAGCCAATCTGCGTTCACGTCTTTTCTCGGCTAATAAATAACCTTGAGATATCAAAGACTGAGCAACATCCTCTTTACTATCTGGATATTGTAATGACACGTACTCTGGACTGCCAGCTATCTTGTACTCAGGGTTTAGTGAAAACTGTTTATTGGCCATTTCGTTGAACATAGCATCAACAGCATCTCTCTTAGAATCTTCCTGTAAAATATGATAAATAAAACTTAAAATGGGATAAATAACACTCAAACTAACACTCAAAATCTGATGTTCTGGTCATAATACCTCACATCTTAAACATGTCCAAATATATTAGATATTTCTACTGTGTTTAACTGTGACAATATTTTTCCTACCAAATAAGTAAATTTAAAATCAACATGTTCTTGAAGACAGCATAGAGAAAATCTTGTGAATTATAAACAAGTACAGTTTTTTCGATTGGTTGAAATTTGCTGCGTCATACTGAATTATTAACAAAGTGAACCATGGTACTTTAATTACAATAAATATGAGATGAGATGATGAATATGAGGATGGCTATGATAATATGAAATATAGAAGACTAATGGATACAAATTTTGAATTTAAAACTGAGAATATTGAACTTGTAAGAATTTTATTCATTTCTACAACAATACCTAAATTTCAATAATACTTAAAGAGATGTAGTCCTTCAATGGAAGCCCAATTTCAATTATCCATAGGTTTACAATGAATAGTGCTTTTTATGTATGATCATTTTCCATTTGTGACTCGTGTTGGCTGTTCCATATTTATTTGTTTTTTTAATTACTTACGTCAGTAGGTACTGCTACACAGGCTAAACTATATTCTGTAGCTTGAGGTGAGAAAGCTTCATAACTTGATGGTATTGAAGCTACATCCGAAGATGCTACGGTCTCTCTCTGAAACATTTTTTAAATACATTATAATTGACTATAGACAAATGAACATGAACAAACCATTCTAGATTATACTACAACGGTAAGGTGTGTTGAATCTAGCTGGAATGTTTAATTAATTCATTTAATTCATGTGCACAACTACTATAGATATATAGAAATTGCTTTATTTCAGAACATGTCTTGTTCCTTTTAACACTTGTTTATAATGTACAGCCTTACAATCAATCTATAAAATATAGAAAGATATATATATCATTTTGTAACCAAGAAATTTTCAAGTGAAAAACTTACATTGCCATAATCAATAAATTTGACAGTTACTTTACCACCATCTACCTTTAAAACTTTACCTCGGTACCTACAAAATATACATTGTTATATTACATTTTTTAAATGGTGAAACACTTTGTCAATATACAAAGTGTCTTGTTCACTCTCAATTAATGATTGTTGAATATGAACATCAAACATGACCCTAAATTGAAGATTGGCTCCAAATCTACACTGATAAATTAGGAAGATATCATGAATTACTGACCACTGGCCATCTAAAGAGAATTTAGCTGCACACAGATCTCCAACTTTAGGTTTATAAGCACCAGGTAAAGGTGGATTGGTCTCCATATCATTTCTTAGTTGTTCCATCATTTTCTCTAATTGTGGACCTGAAAGAGGAAGCCATGATGTTAAATAATGTTACATAATAACAAAATATTCTCACTGTTGTCTTGAAATGTAGACACAAGAACAAGTACTACTTGTGAAACTGCAGTAGTTGTCTGAAGATCACATAGTGTGAATCTCTGAGTAACAGCATGTTTCAAGTTCTACTGTAATATTTCTATCAACATGAAACAGATTTTTTTGGCAGATTGGCAGATATACAAATTGGGAAAATTCTAAATTTTATGCAGACACAACGAAAAAAAAAAACACCTTTTGCTTACCATTGTCAATATTTTGTGCAAAGAATGATAGTTGATCAGTAATTTCTGTAACAACTATAGTGGTATAGTTAATCTTCCTATCAGCTGGTTCTTCTTTAACTTCTTCCTCTTTAGGTTCTTCATAGTGTTGCCACAACTACAATATATTAAGTATTCAATAAGTTATCAGGGAGACAATTGGTGAGTTCTGAACAGGTTCTGTCTGTTCAACTCTAAGCATCAATAGAAGAGTATGCAACTGGCCATATCAAATTCAAATTTCTATTCCTTCCTACAAATATTTTGAATTCTGTATACATCTACTTTTTTTGGTGCACGTTACACATTTCATTCCTTATTCAACATTATATCGGAATTGTACAAATGAATACTTATAAAAAGATTAGAAAATCTCGTTACAATCCCTTCAAATCAGGAGGTTTCGGTATTTTTGAGAAGATTTTCTGTTTGATTTGAATGGAAATTTAAAGAATAAGGTAAATACTTACACCTAATTTTTCTTTCTTAGCTTTTTCTTCTGCTGATAGTAATTGTCTATAATAATTACTTCTTTCAGCCGTGAAATGTACTTTGGCTAGACCGGCTTCCACTAAACTTATAGATAAATTAACATCATCCACAAATAACCATCCAATGAAATTACCTCCCTTGTCAATTGTTTCAACTGATACCATAACCTGCCAAATAAAAAAAATAACATAAATAACCATATATCTCACCTCAGCCATTTTTTCATAATTTCAATTAAATATTGTTTTACAAACATTTGCCTCGAATTTTCTATTTCTCCTTATAAAATCAATTTACATCAACAAACAACAGCAAACATAAATAACAATATTTTCTATCCCTGTTTTGTACGGATTCTTACCTCTCGTTGCATGCACATTTCCTTAGTAAATGCTAAGGCTTCCTCTCCATAAGGATCAGCTGGTACAGTTACACCTCCTTGTGGTCTGGCTCCTCTTGGACAGTCAATACCTGAATAAATAATCAATATCTGATAGGTTTCATGCTATGTATACATTGAAACCCCTAGATTTTTTTTATGCTACTACTAATACACATCATAAGCTGTACAAAAATACTTTAACGATAACTAACTTTAATGATCCTGGCAATTTTTCAACCCACTATTCTATTTCTACCCTGCTGCATACCTGGATTGCAGGCCTATTTATTATACGTATCTCTCATGTTTGAAACAGAAATAGGTATTGCTCAAATAATTGCCAACGTAACACTGATTGGTTGATAATGTATTGATAATATTGACCAATCAACTTTCTGATTAGTTTGATATAATAATAAGTTACGAATCTTTCTAATGAAAATCCTGAAACATCTAACAAAGAAAGTAGCCTACCTGATACAAGTAATGTTATTAAACAGGTAGATTTAGGTAAATACAGGCGTAATCTTGATCCACTGGCAACAAATTCAACTAAGCCCTCAATTTTACCAGCTCGTTGTAATGATGGTAAAAATTGTTTAGCCTTCGTGATATCCTGAAATAAAACATTGAAAATTTAGATCAGAGACTTAAATATCAGCTAAATAGCTCCAGATATTGAAGCAGACAAAAACACATTTCCTAATATGTCACATAAAAGTATACTTTAATATATAAATTGCAAATCACGATGTGCGAACTTTAGACCATTCGTGAAAATCAGAGTAACATGTTTCAGGTTCTGTTTTCTAAAATATTTTGTTATTGCTAATTGCAATTCATGTAACATACAGTATCACAGTTTCTCTCTAATTGCTTTTAATGCCATTTTGAGCCAAGCCAGAGTTTGCCTACAAATGCGCTAGTCAAGAATGAAAGCGTGTCTATAACATTAGAGATGACCTGAGTCATCTTTAGTGTTTTTAAAGCAACCATATAATGATCCTACCCCTGATACATCAGCTACTCTGTGAATTGGAGCATCTTTCTTGGCATGTAAACCTACAGCTTTCTTCTGAGCTCTAGCTTCAGCAGCCAGGAGTAAATCATAATGAGCTGAACGTTGATCATCATCTTGTCTATATCTAATAACTGTAGCTAATCCTTTACTAATCAGAGCTTCACCAACATTTCTACAGTTATTAAAGGGATATTAAAGAGGTTTAAGTTTATGGTATTGGGGTCACTGATAGAATCTATCAATTTGAAACATTTTGATTTTCTAGTCATTAGTCAGACATATGTGGTTCTTGCCAGTCTGCTAAAAGCACTTAAAAAAAATATCACAAAGACTCTTATACATTACTAGAAGCTTTTGCCATAGGCCTTTCTATAATTGTAGGAAATTTGATAAAGTAGACTTACATTCCTCCTATAGTTACTGTGCAACAAGTTTTTTCAGGGAAACCTTGATTAGCTGGCTGAATATAATCAACTTCAACATTTACCTACAATACAGATAGTAACTATTAAGACAAAATAACCTTCCAATACAACCAGCTTCCAAAATTACAAAAGGACCAACACAGGAAAGGCTTTTAGTCAGAATCAATTAAACAAACATTAAGCTCCTTCAGATTATTGCAAAATCTACACTTAAAATATGCAAAAAAGAAAAAAAGTACTTGCCTTTTTACCAGTGAGCTTCTTTCTTAAAAATTCTCGAGCTTCAAATAGATAAGGAACATCATAGAGTGGTCTTGATCTCTGTTTAGGATCTTTATTTTCACCATCCTGGTTTTGAGAGGCTCTGAAATTCAATAATTCATCAACTAAACTGTTCATAATGCATATTATTACTGTATATTCTCATTTAATCACAGGTGCACCAGAGGTCAGACTTGTCTGTTGTTTGAGTGGAGTCAATTTTATGGTACTATAGTACAGACAATAGTTTGTCAAGCAAACATTCAGGGGGATATTAAAAATTGTCTGCTTACTAATGGTGGCCGGTAAACAATTCAGACAAGGATCACACTTACTTCAGGTGACAATTCATAGAAGTTTGATTTGATCATAAACTCTAAGCTTACCTTGGTGGTTTAATGCTTGATAAAAATATCTTTTTAGTTCCATTATCCAGTTTTATCATCATACCATCACCACCAATAACTTCAACAACCTAGAACAACATCAATAACAATGATAATTTTATATAATAATTGTGTTTTTATTCTTTGAGTTCTGAATATATTGTGCCAAGATATCTGTGCCCATTCAGAACACTTTACCTCATATCGATAGGTCTACATATTCTATGGGGCTTCCTTCAAAAAGTTTTAATTTTTGTTTAGTTTACTGTTAGACAAAGCCATAATATAATATCCTATATAAAATCCTATATTTATTACAATATTCAAAATATTTGGCATTGAAAAAATGTCTAAAAAAAATAGATAGTTTACCTTTCCAGTGAAAGATTTATCTTTGATGTTAATGGAATTAGTTGATGGGGTATAATCTTTCCAAATCCTTAATTTCTTTTCCTTGCCAACTCTATAAACAAAATAAATATTTTTTTTAACTCCATAAAATATTCAACAGTATCATTCTATATGGGAACAACTACAACTTTGATATGAGTCTGAAGATACTTCTATTTAATGATTAAAACATTTTTACTTTGTAGCAGTTGGTTTAATAATTTAGATTTGTAATTTGAATATTTTCATTAATTTCTTACAAGCAATACTACAAATTAGGGCACAGCAAATATACACCTAATCAGAAGAAAATGACAAACTTACTTTTCTGCGGATCTTAATTTCTCTGATCCATTTGTTACAACACCCATACTCCAATCAACACATCTGGCAAAACCTTCTCTTAACAGAACTTCAGCAATATTACCATTCTAAAATCAGAACATTTACAATACATTACAACTACATCAATCAATTTTATTATTTCTGTCAAAAAGGCAATTATAGCTGACCTTTGACATTTTAAGCAAAATACTTCATTGGCATTATTTTATTGGAAAATTGGATTTTCCTCAAATAAATGTGGCTATTATTTCCCAAAAAAAGAATTTAAGAAACTGAATTAAATGTGTAGTTCTCAAAAACATATCATGCTATACTAACTGGATGTATTACTGTTCCTAACAAGTTAGCATTAGAAACTCCTTCAAGTATGATCTGGACATCTCTCTGTAACAATCGGGATTCAGTGAAATATCTAGCTTCTGCTGCAAATGGATCTGATGTACCATCTTGTTTGAACATAGGACACTGAAGTTGAAAATAATCAAAATTCATGACAATTCTATAGTTAATTCAAAAATATTGAGCAGGATACTTCACAATATGGTACAAAAAATAAATGAGTATATAGCCTTTTACAACATATGTCAATGTATCTTGTATAACAAAATTTAAGATTAAAAATCTATGTAAATATTGTAGACCTACCTTGATTCCAGATAACATAACTGTGACATACTCAAATGTTGGTAATAAGAAGGCTCTGACTGTACAGCCATCTCTTACATGTTCAATTACAGCTAAAACAAAATAAATAGTAAAAGGTCATAATGCCCACAAGATTTAATAAAGATGTTCTTTTTTTTGTAATACCCAAGTATTAAGACATCTTGAAATAATCATTATTAAAGTCCTCTTTGTAACCCATCTCTATACACTATCTCAACTACCGGTACATTACTATTCAATAACATTTCATTTATCAAATTCAACACACTTTAAATATATTACATTACTAAATAGAATACATACCATCAATTGGTTTATTATGATGAGAATCCACAAAGTTTCTAGGATTTTCAATAACCCATTTGATGTCTCGAACATGTTCTGAATCTTTACTCTCACCATGTTTTCCTTTCTTACCCTGTATAGCTGCTTCTTCTAATTGTACCAATCTTTGTTGATTGGGGCTACAAATAAAAACACAGGGTAAGAGAAATATCAAATATGCTCTCATAACTTCATTTAACAAAGAAAATAACTCCAGCTGATATTTGTGAAGCTAAAGGGAAAGAACAAAACAAATTTGTCCTCAAAGTTATGTAAACATACAGTCTGTTAAAAGAAATAAAGATCAAAAGCCTTATACTTACTCATCTGATTTCAATCCCATTTTCCTAACCTCAACAAGTCCTTCCTTTATCATGGCCTCAGTTAGATTTTCACCAGAAGTATCTGTAAAGAATAAATCGTCAATGTCACATAAATAGGGGTCAAAAAACAAATTTCACCTGTAATCAACATTACTAACTAATAAACAAGCAAATCATAATATCAAATGTTACGTTATGGCACAAAATGAATGACAATCATTTTACAGAATTTTAATGTGACATTAAGCAAAATTTAAGACGGCAAGGATATGAGTGTTTATCAAACATATTTACCCTTTCCTAAGTAGACACATCCATATTCTTTACCAGAACCAGGTGCTGTATACTCTACAGTAAAGGCAACTTCTTTTCCTATCACTTTCTTTCTTAAAAATTCACGAGCTTCCCATGCCCATGGCTGAAAAATATAAAAGATAATTTGTATTCCCACAACAATACAATTCAAAAAAATTCATTTTCCATAAATCATTTAAAAATAAAACCAGGATGCTTCTTGCAAAAAATCTTCTTATGCTTACCTCATCTTTTGTTTCTGCTCCCTCAGTGTTTGGATTAGCCCTTCTGGCCAGTTTAGGAGCCATGATGTTTGAAAAACATATTGTCCTTTCTGGAGGTGGTCCTCCTCTTGGCTGACCTCTGATAACAACAGCATCACCAGATAAAACCTTTAATATTAATCAATATCATGAAATCATTAACATCCTTTGAAATATTGAGCAACAGATATTGACAGAATATTGATATAATTTAAAATCCCTTTCCTTTAATTATAAAAAATATTTTAGTTCAGCTTACAAGCCTGTACTAGTATTTCAAGAAGAAAAAAAATCCAATAGGATTAAATTTATCCCTAGATTGTTTGGACACAATTTTCTTGCCCTATTTATCCATGATCAAAACTGTATTCTTATGCCATATGGTATATTAATCATAGGCCTAAGTGATGAACTAAAATTCATCTTTGACAATTCTTTACTTACAGGTTTTGTCTACTGATCACAAAATATAAAAGTAAAGGAGGATTATATCACCTGTTTAACAATACCCCTCTGGGTTCCAGATGTTGGTTGTGGAGCTGCCGGTGCGCTCATCTTGATACTGATGCTGCAAACGTTTACTGTGATAGTGTGTCAATGAAGCTTTAAAATTAAAGGCAAGAAGAGGAAGTTTCTGGTCACGTGATTGCAACAGACCGCACGACAAAACTTATATTGAAGACTAATTTCGCAAGCAAACTAATCTTATGTGAACTTTTCAGTGGGACTTAAACAAAAAAGAGAAATGGTGAAAATATGTTGCTTGTCGAGTAATTAAAATAATAAACAAGATTTAATGTGGTCACGTTGATGATGTGGCGACGTCCATGTTACAGTCTCGCAGTAAATGGGTCACCTTCGGATTATTCTCAGTAAAATGTTAGTAAGGTTAATGCTCATTTATAGCTAATTCATCTAAATGTCGCCATAAAGGTTTTCCCTGGATGATTAATTCTATATCATTGGGTACAAAATAGTTTAAGCCCCCAGAAGAATAATCATAATCTAAAATCAATAACCGAAATAAATCATAGAAGTACAACACGAACTTGGCCCAAGTGGAATCATTTGTATAGGCCTAAACAACCCGGCCTAAACGTTTAATATATTTTATGAAACTGGCACAGTGGCCGCACATGTGCTTATTACACATAAACAAAGTCGTATTAGTATATATCTACGCTTAGATTCAATCTCAGTTTCCCGTATAACTTTTTTCAGCGCTCGGTCCGTCTACAATCAGAACGTACACGTAGTTTAGAACGACTGACTTCGTTTCCAGTTCATTTTAAACCGACTGTTTTTTTTAAAAAGAAATCGTCAGTTATATCTACATGGAAGAATTTCAAATCATGATTCCGAATCGGGCATTAGATTGATTTTTATAATCATTTAGCTTTCAACGACCATACCAATATCGTTATAATATATCGTTGCGGGTGTTGCGCGCGAAGCAGGGCTTGCTGACTTTCGAAACACCTGATGGTACTTCTCTTTGGAAGAGTCCATTACTATACTACCTTTACTCCCGATTTTGTCTTTTTTTTGGACGCGATTTTTAGGAATTGTCTTGCTTGTACTGTTTTTCACAATCCTCGAATTTTATCCATTTGTTATATAATTATTTAGGATCACAGTGTCATAAATAATAAGTGTCGTTATCAGGCCGTAGCCGTAGATCAAAGAGGGGGTGGGGTCTGAGAACCGACCAATTCCACTACTGCATCATAATACCATACATCATTTTCCCTCTGGATATATTACTTGCTCCTCCGAACAATCAGTCTGACTACGGGTCTGCTCGTTATTTGGACATTTCTTATATTTTTTCGAATGGGTTAAGAATATATAATTATCATATTATCACGTAGGGTTCTTAGAAAAATGTGATTTTGATGGTTTCGTCTTCCTTATCGAAATACAAATTTTTGTCCAATACTATTACATCGTGTGTCTTCATTCATGATAATTTGAAATTTGTATACGTCATGTCTTCCAGTCGTGTACTGTAGTGACACGGAAAGCCCTCCGTAGTTCATAAAAGTAGTAAAACCTTACATTATTATTATGGATTTCAGGATATATGTAAGGCATTTAATTTTGAAAAATTTTTATGAACATTTTTTTATTTTTTTTTTTTATTAAATTATTATTATTATTGAACATTGGAGTAAATGAACCGGAAATATAGTCACGCAGTTTTAATGGACTGTTTGATTCAAATCAATTTTGATCATAGCTTACGGATATACTCTGGATGTGTTGATTGGTTAGCTAAAAATAGTAATGAATCACGAACGCCGATTTCATAACTATCCGTCTTCAGACTTCACGTTTTGACATATCAAACACAACATAAATTTTTGTATCAAGATGGCGCCCGGACAACCGATGAATCAACAACAAAGAGGTGAAAATGCTATAATATACTAAATATGTAAACCTTCTCGAAAATATAGAAATTGATTTCAAATTATTAAATTTCTTGTTGATACTGAATATTTTGATTCACCATCACTGGTGGGGATAGCTAAAAACAAGTGCCCCTTCCGTATCGTAGTTGGAGATGAGCTGTCAGTGCGTGTAGCTGAGTTTTCTCACCTTGCCAACATACCCCACCCCACCCACTCCCACCCCACTCCCTTTGTATGAGAATTATGGAAGTCAAGTATTAATATATTACCTTATATTCATTTCAGGTCGTTTGCAAGTGGTTGTATCCTTATCTTAAACTTTAAGTTAAAGACATGATATTTCAAATTTATATATGTATATAATATGCCATGCCTTGGTTGATTTGTGCATTCCCACATCAATATTAATAGGAAAAAGTCCATGAATATTAATATTACTTAAAAGTTTGGATAAAGGGCCTACATTATATATTATTATATGTACATTGTATTCCTTGTAAAACATAAAATCAACACAATGAAATGATAATATCAATTGATAAGGTTGAAACACCATAATTAGTTGAATTAAACTGCTGATGTTTTGCTTACATTTCTTAACCCTTATCTTAGAGATCTTCTTTACCATATCAAATATTACTATACCTAAATGGGTGGTATTTCGGATTCTTTCTCCTTGCAGAAGTTTTGATATTCATATTTAAAGGTAGGAATATATATAAGCACTGTATGTTGCAATGAAAACATGTTACACCAGTTCAGTCTGGTTGTTTTTGAATGCTTGGGAATGTAGTCAACAATTCCAAGCAAATTATCATTCTTATTTTTCCACATTATAAAATTATTTTGATTTTTATGTTTCTTTTCAGCTGAAACACTGCCATTTGCATCCAATACTCTTGCAGCTGAAGTTATATTAGTTTTTTTATTGGCAGCACTAGAGGGTTTACGTTTATTTTTTGGTACGTAATAGTCATTTAAAATCCTATCTATAAGCATAACTTTAAGTTATATTTCTAAATTCAAATTTGCACACTGTTTTGTTTACCCATATGATACGTGTCTTTTTATGCAGTATCACAAAATGTTATTTATCCTGTTGAACCAATAGTTCCCACTGGGTGACTTGGGTGTTTTTTAATCGATTTACAGTTATTATTTTTAATAATTTTCAATAGACGAAGTTTGCTAAATTCTGCTTGTGCCATCCACATAATAACTATGCATTTAATTGATCATTATAGGTAGAAAAGGAAATTTAACAGAACAAACAGTTGGTGTAATAATATCAGTGTTATTAAGTATACCAGCTATATTGGGTGCTATATTTATATTATTGTGGCAGACTTATGTCTTAAGACTAGATGTTATATTAGCTGCTATACAATTAGCATTTATTGCCTTAGAACTGGTTTTTGGTGTCATCTCCATCATATCATTTGCAAGGTAAATTTTTAAAGATTTTAAATTACTTGGTGTACATTTCCATCTTTCCATTTGGCTTAGCTTTGCCTTCCCCTCCCCCAGTTTCTAAATGCCTGGTGCAGTGAGATGGCCTTGACAATTCTGTTGCCTTACATGCCCCCTCCATCCATAAACACCGCTGGTTCTGATGTTAACTAATGATGAATTGTAATGCAGGACTGATAATGATGACAAATATAACGGTTTTAATAAACTTTTGTCATTCTCTGTATCAGTTTATGTTAATACCTTCCTTGCTGCACATTTTCTTTGTCTCTATGACTAAAGTTTTAGTTTTATGGATTTAGCACTTGATGAATCATTTGTTTCTATTTTCAGAGCTTCACCTTACTAAAGAAGAGAATAGAGATTTTATATTTTATACTGAATTGTTAATCATGTAGATAGTGATCATTCCGTCCTTGTAATATTCATACTAATTGTTGTATAAAACTTTTACTACAAACATCAATAGTTGTTTTTGTTTTGACAATACATTTTAAAGGGACATTCTGCTTTTTTGTGGGGTCAAAAATTTTGTTAGCTCATATTTAGGAAAACTATACACCAAAATGTAGAGAAATATGTCCCTAAAGACCAGCACTAGGTCAAACTGCTAAATTAACATTAAGTACTCTCTGTCTTTAATTAACCCTTTTAAAACAAACTCAGGTTTACCACTAGATACATAGTTATCAGCTATTGGCATTGATTGGACAAATCAAATCCAATGATTCACTAATCAGACTGAATCATTAAAGTACCCCCCCCCCCCCCCTTAGAAAAATGGTTTGCACCCCCATTTACACCCCCACAGATTTTAAAATATGATTTATATACTTTTTTGCTCATAAAATTGTCAGAATACACCAATTACACACTCAAAATTTTTGAGTGTGAACCCGTTAAATCACTCCATGAGAGGCTTGCGACTATGACGCATACAGAGTTGCTGCATTTTGAATTCAATGTCGACACTGCCCCCCCCC